ATCGTAAATGCAGAATCCCTGAGTACCCCATACACAAGTGTTGTTTACATTGACAGCGTCTACGTAATCATAGATAAAGAAGAAGGGGGTGTTTTCAGAGTCGATCTTCTACAACAAAAATATCTTTCTGTGAGTATAATTACTATTGTGAAAATTACCAAATTGACATTATTTTGTTCTTTTGTTGTCGTTGCACTATTTTTGTCGCTGTGTTTTGTTGCGAACTATGTCATTCACATGAGCAAATCATTTTGACATTCTATGTTTCACATGATTATTTTATTTGTTTGAATTAACATTATTTGTCTAAAGCGGATGTGCAAACGATTTTTCACACATAAAACCAAAATATAAATGACAAATATGTATTGGTGTTATGACATAAATATGTATACCTAAAATACCACGTGTTGTTGTCTAGTTACACCCAACATATAACTTAATTAATTATAAATGATTTGAATATTAAATCAAGTTTAAAGCGGACAGTCAACAAAATGACTATTCAGCGAAATGCACCTCATGCCGGTTGACATCATTATTCATGCAAAAATCAATATATCATAAATTTAAGAAAAAATGTATAGTTCTTTTTGTGTGTGGCCATACTAATTATGCATGGGCTGCATAACATTATGAAACACATTTGATACAATAGGAAACCAATTAGATGAGTTTACTAATTACAGAATGTATGCGATTCATTAGGGTAAACTTATGTCGTATAAATTGAGCATATTTGCTAAATATGCCAAATTGGTCTACGGCGTTTAATCTTTATTTCAATAAGCGTAATTTGTCTTTTCGAAATAATTCTACTTCGTGGCTAATTGTTTGTTAATATAAGTTAATTTATCTTATATATTCTAATATGATAGATTTAAAATAAAAAAAAATATTACGAGCTTACGTCAAAATATGTCGTGACCTAGCTAGTAATAAATTGTGTTATTTTACTATAAGAGTTAAAGCGGGGAGTCGTCACCTGCGCATGCGTCAGATGGCCATAGCGTGTAACTCTTTACAAACAAGCGTCTACCATGAGCCTTTGCGTTTTAGCGTGTGTTGTTATCGTTGATTGGAACTATTCATACTATTCAAATGTACACATGACCATTTATATTGTGTTTAGATGTATGGTTTAAAAGCTGAAACATTTATTTATTATTTAGAAAAATAAAATGCATATAAAACATAACGGTATAATTTTAGAAATCGCTAAGGATGTCCCATTTCAACACAGAAACATTCACAAGTTACATTCACAATAGATGAATATTCCGCCGAATGGGATCTACATTTACCGCATGCAACAACAAAAAGCGATTTGCGGGCAAAACAAAATCAATTGTGATATGATTGTGTATGATCTATACAACGCGAATGAACAATTCGACAATATTACCATTATAAGTGTATATATTTTTAGCCAAATTTAGTTAATCAGATGTCAAACAGATTATAATTGTGACGGACGAGTGATGAGTATGATGATCCTGGACCGTATTGTGTACACGAATTGATATATTTAAATATTAAATGGCAACACTTAACAAACTGTACTGTATGTATCTTTAAATATAAAAATGAAATAAATAAAAGTGAACAATAACTAACAATGCACATATATTAATTATGTAGATTTTTTATGATTTATTATATAGATCAACAACGAGAAATCAATCCACATTGTAGACATAGTAGACAAATGGGAAGACAAGGTTAATGGTATTTCAATCATGGAACGCGACAATAAAATTGTGTTGAACAAAGCCGGTGAATTCAGCTTGAGTTGGGATGGAATTGGACGCGTCAATATTAAACTTGATGACACTTACAAAGGTCACGTATGTGGGCTGCTGGGAAATGCAGATGACAATCCAGATGATGATCTTATGGAGTTAACAGCAGATGGTTTGAAGTTGACAACGAATACAGACGAATTCGCAAAAAGCTGGGAAATACCAGATAGGTGAGTTGGTAGATTCGAGAATATTTACATATCGGGGAAAACAAATATCTGCACATCAGCGTATGATTATCTAACTGCGCCGTTTTCTTTTTCTTTTTCAGTTGTCCATCTAAATAATATACAAAACGACCGATACATGTGATAGTTGTTACTGACAATAACGTTGGGATACTAGCCAAGACGATGTTCTACTGGTTTGTTGGCGGCATTTTTGCATTGCTTATTTATTTCACTGCTCGTGCATTGTATAGTTATGGAACAGACGTTATTATCGTCCGCACTCCTCGTTATAAATGCACATGTCTATTAAGGTTTGCTATATGCATGTATAGTAGCGATTATCATTATAGGTGTTTCTATATCAATGATCAATAAAAATGAATTTGGGTGATACAAAATGACCATAGCTTCGTTTACTTTAGGTCAGACTAAAATCCAACGCTCAGATACATCGTAAATATGTACGCTGCGAGCTTATGTACAAACTTCGCGAATGTCTTCCATACGCAATAAAAGAACGACGGCTTGAGTGTCTAGTTTTAAAATATTCAAATTGGATTGAGTTTTGTTACAGATGTTGACAATTCTTTAATCTAATTAACCGCCTTATCCGTGTCTTGTTTTGCTATACTTCCACTGATATTCGTTTAGATGCAAGACGTCAAATAAGGTTACTATATTAGATATTTATATTTATTCCGTTTCATAAATATGTGATGCATCAAACAAATACAATGTCGTGTATAATGACATAGGGGTGCTCATTTCGCCGGAATATTCACATTTTTAATATTGCAACTTTTTATTGCATAACAGTGAGAGGTAGTAATGAAACTAAAATTGTATTATCACCGAAAATGGCGATGCTGTTTCAAAAGTATGTCACGCCTGTAAATGCACGATTGCGATTGAATGAGATGTAGTTTTAGTCTATGCAATCCGGTATAAAATGATCGATATACCTCAGTTTTCTTTGTTTGGAAGTAGGCCCAAGGCCTGAATAACACGCATCAACTTTAAAGCTTAAACGCTTCTGTCAACTGAAATCGACAAAACTATTATTTTACGCTACCAACGTATCACGCGAGGAAGAACATCAGAAGTACACAAACAAGAAATTGATTGTCGTCTCCATTACCTTGTGAATCCCAAGCCTTTGTCGATTCCAAAAACGCAACCGAGTGTGCAGCGCTAATGGGAGTCTGTTTTTTTAATTGAAATTATGTTGAACCTCGCAACGAGAAAATACAATTTTCGTCTCCGCTCAATATAATAGTCAACTTACCAGAGTTTATAAATGGTGAATTGTCAATGCTCACTGTAGTTTGAAAATATCAATATAATTTAAAAGGTTCTTTGGATAATCTGTACTGAAACCTTATTTTCATATTTGGTTAAAGGCTTTTCCGGCACTAAAGCAAAACATGGTACGGTATATCAAACGCCATGTCGGCGAATTTTGGTTATGTTCATATAAAAAACTGTACACTTATTATGCTAAATGCACTGCAACTTAAAGCTGGCGTTGTCAAACTATGAATGCTCATGAAAATGCTGATAACAATTGGAATTTGTTAAAACGCATAGCCATATTGTATAGTATAGCACTACTCAACATCACCATCATCACAATCATCATACTGTCTTGTGACCGACTGCAGGGTGAATGAATATCCATTAAAATTATGCCACTCGTCAGTCTGCCACTACATCCAGCTCATTCAGATGTCTAGAATCCCCAGCAGCTTTTTGGTTTTCTTTTTCTCGCAATAACTTAAAGGGCGGCAGTCGTCGCGTCGCGTCCTGTTCGACATGGGACTCATAGCGACGTATACAACGCATGTAAAATACATTGTTTGTTTAAATAATTTTCAAACACGCGCTGCGCGACGACCACCGCGCTTTAACTAAATAATTAAAATAAAATCTACTTTATTAAAAATGGACAATTAAATGAATAAATGAAAATAAAGTTAAGCACTACGAGCCTCCCATATAAATATAGAATAAATGCTGACATTTTCTTTTTATGAAAACAAAATTATTAAACTCCAATCAGGATGTTTTGAAATGTTGGTTCATGACTGCATATAACCACATTACCAAAATACCAAATTGGATCAAAATGTAATGAGAAATATTTGCTTACACAGACTGAAATGAAATATTTGACATTGCGCTGAAACTAATCATATCTGTTCATTATTCCATGGTACCATGGTAACAACTGTGATTTACATAATTCCGAGATACATAATAAAGTATTGCATATCAAGCCCTGGTAACCTACAATTGGTTTTATTTTTTGAGGGTTTCTATTAAGCTTACACTGGTTGTAATTGATATCGTTTTTAGAGATGACGTTTTATATAGAAAAGTTTGCGATGGTTCAATTAAAAGCTACCGAATACAATATACAAAATACGTTTGCATGTTTCACATACATACAGGACAGTGCACAGATGCAGCGACAATACCAAGCTATCGCTCCAACACATGCAGCAACGCAATCGAACAAAATCCTTCATTTATTTCTATTTACCTTCGGCACATCCATATGTGAAATAATTACGATTTCGTACAACTTGGTCTCTGATCACCAAACACGGTGTATTCGAGTGCAAGGGGTAAATTATGTGTTGTTAGCTCATATGTACTCCATTGTGATGCCAAGCATTGTAATGTGAAAACTGCGTTTCCCTTTTCGATTTGTGAAATTATTTCGTGTTTTCAAAAAAACAGCCCTGAAAATAACTGACTAATATATTTGCTAAATTATTACTGAACGAATGGGAATGAAAGTACAAACTATCTAGTGTGTTCAACATTTCATGTTTGAATAATAACTTTAATAAATAGGACATTACTTGGCAAAAACATATATTTTCCTCCATAAAAACGAAAGAATTCAACAATATCATTGTTGCAGTATTTGTGTGTCTTATTGTACAGCTATTCAAAATGTACCATTTGTTTAATGGGGGATCGTGAGAAAGCTAATAAATATACATGTCTTATTGTTGCAGCATCATTTTCAACTTTAGATTTGTTTTTGCTTGTCAGAAAATAGCCCTGAACCTTATCTCATTATATAAGTGTATGTGTGCATTGAGTATGTAGAATAATGTGGTTGTATTATTTTGCAGTCACGTCGCTTTATAAAGTAACAACAGAGAAAAGACGAGTTAAACATTTTGTTTTAATAAATGCAGTACTAGTTCTATATCTCTGAGATGCTTTGACTAATTATATTCACATTTTGCATATTCATTATAACGGGATGATCAATAAGTTCTCGACCCCACAACGAAACAAGGGGCGGAACTCCTATTCTGGGGTATGTCTACCTGTAGTAATTCAAATTTGGGTATTCAATAAATAGCACGTGCACGTGGTGCCCATTTAAAATCAGCAGGTGAGACGAAAATCACAAAATGGACCAGACAGAAGTTAGTGCTGTGATCAAGTATCTCTATCAAATACGATTGGCTACTAAAGAAATCGAAGAAGACATTGTCACGACAGGGGAGAACTCCCCTACTTATTTCACTGTAAAGAAGTGGGTTGCTAACTTTAAACGAAGCCATGAGAGCATGAAAGATGACCCAAGGTCTGGATGTCCTACAATCAGGTTGAGGCCATCTGACATATCGGGCATTCACCAGCCATCGATTGTGGCGCAGTTCAAAATATTTTGTCCGACAACTTGGTGATGAGCCAGCTGTCTACAAGGTGGGTGCCCCGAATGTTGACTCCACATCAGAAGTTGAACTGGTTGGAAGTTTCATGGACGCTTTTGGCTAGTTGCCGGTCAAATCCTGACAACTTCCTCAAGAGATATGTAACCCAAGATGAGACATGGGTTCACCACTTTGATCCATAATCAAAAGAGCAGAGGAAACAATATACACACAAGGGTTCCCAGGCGCCCAAGTAAAAGGGGGGGGATCGTCCACACAACACATATGGCAGTGGCAGCAGCAGCCGAATGTATATTTGAACCCTTGTCTAGCCTACTCACCTGACCTGGCACCGTCGGCCTTCTACCTGTTTCCTAAACTAAAGTCCCACTTGCGTGGTCACTGTTTTGAGACTGATGACGTCATCCAATCTGTTGAGCCATATCTAAAATCCAAGATAAAACCTTCTTCCAGCAGGGAATAGGAAAACTGGAACATCGATGGACTATATTGAAAATAGTGTAAGAAAAATCTTTTTTTTTTAACGTTTTATGAGGAAGGCCGATATCTTATTGATCGCCCCTCGTACATCATAACATAGATATACAGGTATATCCGATTCAAAATGGGGGGCTATTTTTGTGCAGAAAAAGCAAAAATCATCAAAAATCAAGGATTTTTGGTATTTCGGAACAATATATCGGTCGTTATATATGGATTTTTTTAAACGTGGTACATACAGTAGACATTATTGATGCTAGTCGTTTTGTTTTTCATATAGCAATATATCTGATATGCTTTGACTGATTATGTTCAAATTTCATATGTCATCATCATAGATATACAGAAGTATTCAAAATGTTTCAGGGCAAAATCTCTCAATATGGAAAAGTACTCGTTTGACAATCAGAAACATGATGACTGAATGTCAAACATGTTAATGTAAAAAATCATCATATTCAAATTAAGTTTCTGGATTCATATCTCTGACATGTTTATGTTCCAACTATATTACTAAAAACGAAAACTATATATTTTAAATTTGATAATGAATGGAACTGTGCCATGCATGGTTTATTTGTTTTTGCCGATATTCTGTTTAGTTCAAGCATTGTTTAATAGTGTGTCCGATCTGAACAAACAAAGACATACATATGGCACATATTTACCAAATATTGACGACAGTTTAACAAATTAAACGAGTCCGTTCATTTATTTGAACGAGTCCGTACAGTTTCCTAACAAAAGGATACATTTTACTTCGCTTCCACAATTAAGATAAAGTTCTTCTATCTGTGTGGCCGCGGCATCGGAATATATAACGCACATGCTATAACAGATTATACTTTTGCCAAGACTCATGCAAGAATGTGCCACAGCAAATGTTTCATCTTAAAGCGGGTGAGTCACCTGCGCATGCGTCAGATGGCCATAGCGTGTCATTGTTTACAAACAAGCTTAATCGTCTACCCATGAGCCTTTGCGTTTTTATCGTATGTTGTTATCATCGCAAGGCACCCAATTATCGCGCGTGCGCAGGTGACGACCCTCCCGCTTTAAACCGATCTTCCATATTGTTGATGTCGTATATTTATTATTAATTATTTTTAAATGATTCGATCGAAGGTACAATTGTTATGTGTATTTAATTTATTCATGTTATTAACTAAACTTGCTTTAACTGTTCCAAAGAGATCCATTCCTATAC